GCAAGTAAACGTCGACCTTGTTGACTATTCAGAGACGTCATCTCCTGTGGATATTGGAAAGCATAAACTAAACACCCAAGACGCTGAAGCTAGAATTGTTTACAACAATTGCGTGTTTACTATTATCGGAAATATCTGATCAGTTATAGCAGTATGTGTCAACATAATATTTGATTGAAAACAATAAATGTGCAACAAACGTATGACACGAGACGAAGTCGTGTATGGCAGGTTTATAATATCTCCCATTCTTTTCAAATATCGTTGGAGGTTGTTATTCAAAAAAACAACCTCAAAGTCTATTGTTATTTTGCGTATAAGGTGTGTATATGACAGTATCATTGGTTCACTTTACTGAGTGTCAATGTTCACAAATGTCTGCTTGTATTCGGTACAAAAGTTACAATAAAGCACTCAACAATTATAATATGAATATCATTAAAGCATATTATGATGATGTTACTGTATTTTTGAAGAAGTGATTCTACCATCTTTGAAATAGCCACACCGATTGTTGTATGACCGTATGAAAGTCCTCATTCATATCGTGATTAAATATATCTGGCGTTGATGCTATATTATTCATGGAGATTTCAATTCATAGATTGTCAATTCACATAATTATTAAATGAATGGGTAACTAATGGGACGAATCTATTAACCTGCATTCATGAATGATTTGTTACGTGTAATGGCAAGCTGAATTCTAATGTCACGTATACATCAATTTCATGAAAGGGTACAGTGGCAGTTGTATTATTTTACCACCTGAATAGTGTAATCAATGCTTGACATCTAATGTGATAACAAGGTCAGATTCCAATATTTGAGCAAATATAGCCTCTTCAACTTGAATGACAAATTCCACATTATCGTTTGCTCACAGTAACAGTCAATGTAGTGACGATATGGTAGTCGCATACATTTTACAATTCTGTGAATGAAAAGTATTGCCTATGTTCTGATACATTTTCTTTATTATTTACAGGATAACACGAGATAATATTGATATCTGCAATGACGGTCGGTCGGTCAGCAATCTGGATGATTTTATATTAAACTCTGAATTTCAATCTGCCGTGCCGATAGTATGCGCGCGTGGGTTGCACAAATTACATCTTTACAGGCCATATTTGAATAAGATTCAGCGTCTGCCATGTACACACAAAAACAAACTTTTACTTAGCTTCTGAAATTTATTAATAAATTTCAGAAGCTAACATATCGTACACAAATCAAAAGAAGCTCACTCGGGAATAAATAGTATTCCAATGGAGGTTTATAATTAGTCACTCGAATACAATGTGTGGAAGAGTTGTATGAAAGTTATGTTTTGTAATTATGCTCTAAATCTTAAAATCGTTGATGAGCAGAACGATTGTATACAAAAATAAGTCAAATGAGGTTAATATTTTCGTTTTGACTTCCATCGTCAGAAATAGATTGGTAAATAGTCTATTCACATACTCCGCTTCCATCGACCTTAAAAAGATATTTGCTAACGTTGACAGTAAAGCAATGTTGTACTGTATTGCTGGGTAATGGTATCCATGATAGATTTCATAACGATGCTAATGTGTTATAATACCCAAGGCTATGTTCGTGTTAAAAATTGATAAACTTATGTCAGTCGAGGTCATCAATTTAATGTCTCAATTTTAAAGATTTCAATTCTGGCATTGCACACTGAATGTCACGTTGAGAGACTATGATGATGAGTTACTAGTATTAGACCGGTCACGTTGTATGACACTACGATGGTGAATTACTAGTATTAGACCGGTCACGTTGTATGACATTATGATGGTGAATTACTAGTATTAGACCGGTCACGTTGAATGACACTACGATGATGAATTACTAGTATTAGACCGGTCACGTTGAATGACACTAAGATGGTGAATTACTAGCATTAGACCGGTCATGTTGAATGACACTACGATGATGAATTACTAGTATTAGACCGGTCACGTTGAATGACACTAAGATGGTGAATTACTAGTATTAGACCGGTCATGTTGAATGACACTACGATGATGAATTACTAGTATTAGACCGGTCACGTTGTATGACACTACGATGATGAATTACTAGTATTAGACCGGTCACGTTGTATGACACTACGATGATGAATTACTAGTATTAGACCGGTCACGTTGAATGACACTACGATGATGAATTACTAGTATTAAGAGTAACGGACTAAACAGCAAACTGACAGCATATGCTGATGACAGAAATATTCATTACAGGTCTCATGCCACTAATTAATTTAAATGCCTAGCAAAAACCAATGACATTTTTTAAATATTTTTTTTCTCAGGTGTTCCCTGTTTGAGGGCGCGATCACCTGGGTCAGAAGTGAGACTAACATGTGGTCTTTTGTTTACTACTTAGCGGCTGTGTACCTGTGGGATTATTCCGTGTCTATTTGGATGTTCTAATCTTGGTGTTTTTCCAGTGATTTCTCTAGGTGCAGTCCAAATACAGTAGGTGCGTCTTGTTTCCCGAGTTTTGCAAGAGTTTGAGCTGGCCAACATGTGTTTTTTTCATGTGGTTGATTACAGGCATGTTGATTTCCCATTTTAGAACTATGTTTTCAACTTTGTTTATTATTTTCATATAGCAATCTCATCATATGTTAACATTGTCGTCTATGGAGTTTCAACTAGTGGTATGAGCCCTACACGCAAACAAGACTTTAATAAACTAACACAATGGTTGGAAACGTATGTGAGCGCATCCAATTCCAAAATCAACTTTTAAATACTAGCAGCTCGCCCTTGAAAAAAAAAGTTGAAAACAAAATGGAGTTTTGGGCGCATTTTGCTCCTTCGATGTCGTACAGAGGGTGCGCATCAACAATTTGCCTTCGTCACAATTATTCTATCGCTTGTACAGTTTGTCCCCTCCCCCTGATATTATCTCCTCACTCCAAAGATCGTTTGTAAACTTTTTATGGCAAGGTCGCCATTGGGTGCAGGCCAGTGGCGCATCCAGCAAAATGTATTGGGGGGGGAAGCTTCGCTTAAGATCGCAGAGAATCTATGCGTAATCCAGTTGATATGAATCGTCATGCGTTTGGGGAGGGATGGCCCCCCTGCCCCCCCTGCCCCCTGGATCCGCCACTGGTGCAGGCGAAAACTTTGTATTTGCCCAGAGAAAATGGTGGTCAAAATCTCACACACTTGCCATTTCGCACTGACAGTATGCGCCTTGAATACGTGCGGCGTTATTTATATTCTGATTATGATCATCCGTGTTTTAGATTAACTGATTAATTTTTCAATCAATCACCACCAATCAACACCTTGCTTCCTAGCGCTTTTTTGTTAATAAAGTCAATATACACTCCAGACGTATACTTGAGCTAAGTTTAAATGTTGTACATAATGCTATTCCTGGTAAATTGAAAGCAACCATAAACACAAAATTAAAAGACAACTCGATCAACCTGTATCTAGTCACCTCGGTTTCCAGCTACATTTCTCAGACGAACTGAATGTGTCACTATACAAACATGAAAAAGGAGCTACATACAAATACCTCATAGCTGTTATGAACAAAATTCGTCACCCGGACAAACTTGACACTGTGTGGCGTGACCTTGTGGTCTTGCCTTCAGATATTAAACCCAATTTCAATAGGTGTTATACTGCCCCCCATCACAAAACGTGAGGGAGGTTTGCAACAGTGGCGGATCCAGAGGGGGGAGGGCAAGGGGGTCTATGGCCCCCTCCAAACGCATGAAAATGCATCTGGATTACGCATAGCATCGTCCGAATCGCACGGTCCCGTGTATTCGACATATAAGTCTGGACCCCCCCCCCCTCAATACATTTTGCTGGATCCGCCCCTGGTTTGCAATGGCGTGTAATGCATGGTGCATATACTACTGCTGGTTTCCTTGCTGGGGCCGATTCTGAAAACTGCTCACTTTGTTGTGATCTGGATTCCCTCATTCACATTTTTAGTGAATGTCCGGCGATTGGCGCCCTCTGTCGCTTCATTTCGCGCATTTCTACTGAATTTTTACAACCAGGTTTGACGGTTCCTCCTTGGTGGTTCATTATTTTGCCATCTCACCACTCACGTTTTCTCTCTCGTCAGTGTGAGAGTATGTTCATTTTTATCCTTATCACTGCAAAAGTAGCTATCCATATCTCACGGCGGAATAAACAGGAGGGAAGTGCTTTTGTGGATCCGTTGGAAATTCTCAAAACTCGCATCACCAGCAAAACCTGTCAGCCTTGGTTGACGTCAGTAAGGGCATACGGTCGTAAAAACCTTGCACCAACTCAGCCTCAAATAAAGGCAACGTTTAGTAAACGTATGCATATCCCACGATAATACGTTTTTCTGCTATATTATCATCACAATACTACATTATCACACATTTCGTGCATAAATGAAATAAACATGGACAAAATAGTTCCATTTTGAAAAAAATAACGTGTTATTACGTTTATTTAAATATGTATATATTTGTCCTGGGTAAGATTTTTAACTACATCCGGTTGTGGAGTCTATGGACTTGGAAGAATGACGTTACCCTTTGCCACAACTACCTCCAGGTCACCCTTGGGCAAGGTGTAGTACCTGTCAGCCTTGGGTGCCAACTTTACACATGATAAGTTTGGTTGACGTCAGTAAAGGCATACGGTCGTAAAACTCCTGCACAAACAGAGCCGCATAGGCGGACAATTTTTCATGTAAATATGTAGATATTAGTTTCAGTTTTCCTTAGCATTTGGCAGGGGGGATCGTAACCTCTTGTGGTGAGAACCAGTGTGACTGGCCTGCCAACGGGGTGCTAAAGTTTTCATAGTAAAAGTTATCAGTCACATCCGTTAATGTTATTTCGTTTTACTTATCCGTAAATCAAAAATCACTGTACTGTACTGTACTGTACTTTTTGGTTGTTTTGATTTGTTATTGTTAATTGTTGTCAGTCGTTTGTTTTGTGTTTTTTAACTTTTATTGAAACACCTGCGATTGAGTATGTTATGTCCAATTTATTGATACATGTTGATGCACTGTGCACACTATTACATTAAATTTTGCGAGTATTGGTTGACAAATAACAAACACACAAGAAAGGAATCCAGAGTGATAACATTTCGACTATATCGTTGAGCTCTAACCAAATTAGGATTATGCCATTAAGATCTTACATGCCTCCGGAAGTTTGCCTCTTAATTCCAGTGATTTTAATCCTGTGTATAGAACAAAGAAATAAGGCTTCATGAGTTTGCAAGCTTTGCAGCTTGTGTAGTAAAAGCCTATAGGGGAACTGTAAACCTATGAGGATTACGAAAATTAAGTTTATTAAAGCATTTTGAAAGTCTATGAGAAGCTTTCAAAAGTTATAAATAAATATAAGAATACAAAGTTGCCGAAAGCTTACGAGTGTTATGGATGCCTATGAAGTTTTTGCAAACAACCTATCCCAAAATCAGTCAATTATAAATCTCCGAAAATAGTTTTTTTTTTTCAAGATGAGCATGTTGGTTTTTATCAACACCGATGGCTATAGTGAGATATATAATACTTCTACGTTTGGCTTTCCTACGAGTTGACACATGCGAGTGTCCTTACGAACATATCCACCCATCTTAGAATGCATTTGTGTGAATTGTAATGTAATACATTCAGGTACATTACCAGCTAACGCGGACTGGAATCCAGCATTGTAGTCGCAGGCTACTTCATTCAGTACGTAATCATATCTACTGTCTTCATACCAATCATAATCGTCAGGACCACCAACCAGTGCACCAATAAGCTCGTTATGATTATCGCCATCCCAGCCAAAACTATTCTTGTTGTTACATGATTCGAAGTTTGCTGGACACGAGCTGTAACAATTACGTGTTACATATGATACACACAGAAAAAATAAAATGTCAATATTTAGCGTCAATGAGTAGACTTCAACAACCTTACAATCCACAAGTAAATAAATTAAACTCACCTTGCACGGTGGTGGGGTTGTTTAGGACAATTATTACCGTACCCGATGACATAACTTCGACTACTGGGATTATCGCCTAATATGTAGTTAATTTGTTTGCAAGCAAATTCCCTGTATATAACACCATCATCGGTAATATCACTGGTAACACCTGAATCAGCAGCTAATAGTGCAATGAAGGATGTAGCGGCTTAAACAAGAAAAAAAGAAAAATATTAAACAAAACGACATGCATGTCACTAGGGGCAAAAAAGTACATCTTTCTTATAAATCTCGTCTTCGAGTGTCTTCTGTGGCCTAACAATGACGTATATGGGTGAAGGCAATGTATTTGGCGATGCAATCGTCTGTTATCTAAAATACAGTTAAATCATTATTGATAGGACAACAAAACAAAGCGACATCGGTGCTTTGAACACTTTCGTGTCACTATTAACATAATTAAAACACTTCGTCACGCAAATTGTAAGAAAGATGTATTAAAGGAAGTTTGTAGTACGCTAAGCCGAACATATAAATAATATAGAATGGAATTGTTTTTTTTTATCAGAATCAAAAATGAATGTTGCATATCACCGGAATATCTTAAAGATCCCCATAAGTCTCTGAATACCATTCCTCCATCAGTATAGTACAGTCCACCATCTAACATCCATGTATCCAGATATCTTTTTATGTTTCTTTCGTATCTACCTGATTTTAACTCTCGCCATATCACAATCTATGTTCATAAAATTAAAATTAAAAGTTAATTTTTTATTTCGAAGAAGTGAGCTTACTAGTATATAGGCAACTTTGGTAAAGATTAGTGGTAATTGGTTTATTTTCTGGTGAACAAATTTACGTTCATTCCCTTTAATAACAAATGCACCAGGTGGTAAAATTAGAAGCCGATTTAGGGAACAAATAGTTGGGGATATTTATGAATAAATCTACATACTTTCACCAATTCACGAACATCTCCCCATCCAAATGCGTACGAACGACCATACAGTCCGTATTCTCCATAAAGTACTATTGCTTCATCTAAATATGTTGTGTCTCTGGTTACAAAATGGAGAAGGGCAGCTGCCAAACCCAAGTCATCGCCGAACTTGTCAGACCTTCAATGGAACAGAAGAATTAGCTGAATCATCTTATTGATTGTCTGCCATGTCGATATACTCAGTTGATTGATATATTGAATTCTTTTTCTTAGCTATGGTACATTTGTGAATGGTCCGACAATTAATAATATACTCACATGTAATATTTATCAGATGGGTACGAACCGCGGTATGTCATTGCAAACTTATACAAACTTTTAGCCTTTCTCAAACACAGAGATGAGTAGTCAGGGTCTATTAAAACAAAATATTGCTATTATAAGTTATCACATAACAACATAATATAATTGTGACTCTGGGTATGTTATTCAGTCGGTGACTTGGAATACAACTCAACAGAATATCGGGAAGGTCATTCACGTCCTTCAACATTCTTATAATAGCAGCAAAGAAATACATTTAGAAAATTTCGGGTCTGTAAAAATGTGCCATCATGAATTTGGGAGTCAAACAGTCTCATTCCATGGGACCAGCTACATTCTATGTATAACGTTTGTAACTCACCTTCGTCTTCCCATACTTTAGAACACATTGCCAAGGCAGCAGCAGTTAGACCTGCTACATCTGAACCTGGGTGATCACAGTCAATTTTGTATATTGGTCTTGGTGCTGTCATATCCTCTGGACGTGTCCACTCGGAATGATCATTTCCAACCTTAAAGAGTGATTATGTATTTACACAATTTATAGTTATACAAAAACAATCAATTCTTGCACATGTTCTGAAGACATTTCGCATTCAGAATTTATCGAATCCATATTCGTGATTATATATAACACTGTGATATCCCTTACTATCAAATATGCGTGTCTGACATAACAAGGAGGAGTGTATGGATGTTTAATCCATCACTTTGTATCATAAGCACAGACAGATGCCGGCACAGCACCGTCCCAACAACACATCTTGAGATAACAATAACACATTGAAAATACACACTGAGAACCATGCACACTTGTTCCAATTTCAGAATGAGTCATTTCTATCTAGCCAGTTTCTGACAAATATTTCTCATTAATAGTCATGCTGGGGTTCAACTAGATCAAATGTGTGGCAACAAATATGAAACAGGTGGTTTGAATCTATACTGATATACAGATTCAGGCCCGTACAACAATAATATATTTGACGTGAAACGTGTGAATTTTATAATATTCAAAAAGTGTCTTAGAGCTCTGTTACAGACATTTTTATATTCTCGGGTTTACTTTGTGTTACGTTGGTAACTTATTTCACATAACATCTTTAAACTATTTTACCATTTTAGAGAAGGGGTCCTGAGCCATTCCCCACCCACAGACACACACACACACACACACACCATAGATCCACTACGACAAAATGTTATACACAAAAAAGACAAGACTTAGCATTATTGTCTAAGCATTTTAAGGTAGAATGCTACTCACGAGTTCTTTTGCTCTTCGTGGATGTTAGCGCTCATAAAAGTGACACGATTTCATGTCGAAATCTGTCTACAATTATTCAATTTAGTATTAGTCAATTTTGTATTTTGTAATTTTATTTATGTACAGAGCCTCAGCCCATCGTACAAAATGTAATGGGCTGAAAAGTGCATAGCACGTTTTAAAAACAATACAATATCCATGTAAACATATGGTACTCAAGTTAAGCTGGATTCATCTCGTCGCTCGAAAACTTTTAAAAGATAAGAGCTAGTTGATATATGGTGTGGCAGTTTGTGTAGCGACGAAGTAAGCCCAGACTGTCAGTATTTGCATAATTGCATAGGGTTATTGACAAACGATCAGCCTGTAGATCATTGAAAATGGACATATAAAAACAAAGTGAGTTTCATTTTCTACCATGCTAAATTCAAACGTATCACTGCAAAAACTAAAAATTTATTGATCTAACTGTATTTTTGTGTGTCTGCCTAATTCAACATTATGTTTATGGCCAAAACAGCGAAAACTCGTCAGTATATATTTTAGTATATAATTGCTTGCCAATAAATCTCCCAGGTTATAATACTACTAATATTTTTTCCGAAAGTACACAGCCTAAATGATTGTGAAATTGAGGCATGCCATTCTTGCTGACAACAATTGTTTATTCTTTGAGTAAATATCCCTAAGAAATTTGCAGTATCTCCAACTTGTTTTTCAAACCAGACAATGCCGAAACCATATTTGAACAGGAGATTTGTATGTGGGTTTCCCAAGTAAGTCTGTCGGTCTTGTCTAATCGTTTAAGCATTATATAACATGTTTTGGAGTTCCAGCTATTTTTTTACTTCAAGTAATTTTAACCAATATGAGATACAAGGCTTGAAATAACCACAGCATAATGGCAGCCTTCCACATTCGTCCAACATCGCTACATGGTTTGTACAACTATTAACGCTAAGTGGATACATTTGTATCTGCAAAATGTTGTCCGTACCCGCTCGATTTCCGAGTTTTCGTAACGCCAAATCGCTACAATAAGAAATGGCTGGCACAATGATTGCATCAAACATATTAAATGCACTAACAAATGGCATACTACCAAGTTTCTTACAGTATGTAACTCTTTTTGGTTCACTGTAAATCTGTTTAGGGGGCGGTACAATAATAAGCATAACTTCAATGACTACATCTCCTTTTTATGAACCCACTAAAATATAGTAAATTTTCTAAGACATAGTTTCAGTGCTGAAGCAACACTGTGCGGTAAATTGTTGGCTGCAAGAAGCTCTTCGACCTATACAACTCGTGATGATAAATCTTCGGCATTTTTTAATGATATGTCCAACCCGTAGCTGTACACTATTGTTCAATAACAGAGGCTACACGTACTAATACAATAAGTTAACTACATTTGGCTGATACACTTGGAACAAAACCTTATATATGCCATCATTAACTTGAAGAATACAAAACTAATGAACCAAACTAGGAAAGTACAGTGTCGTGTTGTCGTGTCAATCCCGTTCGATTCCCACACTTTACTAACTGAGCGAACACTAGCACAAGACACACGGACCTATTCAGGACCACCACATCCTTCAGAGTGTGACTACCATTACATTATTTGTTCAAATGTTGTTTTAATATTTAACATCAGCTGCTTGAACGCGATCTTCATTACACCATCACGGAATCACCGAATAAAAGCTTGCCAATTTATAACATTTTTTTTTTATTTGCTGCTGTTGAGTACAGACGGCGACTTCACGATTTACATTTAAAGCTTGTTTCCACCAAAATGTTCATTACTATGCAATTTCGCCTGAGTCTGATAATTACCTCGCTGAGTCAAGTGATTTAAGCGATAATAATTATTTTAATTAATACTGTTTGTTTTATTATCATCTAATAAATCTATTCACTTCCAAAATTTAGGGGGTTCGACCGAACCCCCCGACCCCCGTCCCCAAACTACGGGCCTGAGATTTGTTTAGATGACTGTATTTTTGTAAATGTTCACAGCACCATCAATACTAATCACGTGAGAACGTGGACTATTTTGAAAGAGGTTTTAATAATTTACGTATGCTGCTACCTGATAATAATATTCATTTGGACTGACATGGCACTTTATGAAATAGTCACATGGCCATTTAATTTGGTTCATTGCATTCGTGTATTCATTAGAACTGTTGTAGGCATCTTTCCATATTATTAATCCATAACCAATAACAGCGGTACTGTACGCCATGGGTAAATTGAATTTAAGATTGTCACCAGCTGTGAATGAAAAACATAAAGAGTCAAATCCCATTATAAAAAATATGTATGCATATTATGCATTTTGGTGACGTTTATATTTTGCTAGTAGCATGTGTACCACTCACTCACTCACTCACACACACACACACACACACACACACACACTCACTCACTCACTCACTCACTCACTCACTCACTCACTCACTCACTCACTCACTCACTCACTCACTCACTCATCAATCAATCAATCAATCAATCAATCAATCATTCCTCAGTGTAATCATTCATATTACTATATATATTCGAATACTCACCATCGTACCAACCACCTGTTAAATCTACTTCAGGTAAACCATCGTCCAACGCCGAATCGCCACGCCATGGAATGCGATTATCAGCCGGCAGTTTACCAGAACGTTGTGCTTCATAGAATAGAATGCTATTGTGTATAAGCTTGCTATAGTCATGGGGTATAACTAGGAACAAAAGAAAGGTTATAAACTTAAACGTTATGAATGAATCTTGCTAGCTGCAGCATCTCAGTTGTACACATGTAATGACAATTTTTATGTATAATAAAAACTAATCTCTAGATTAAAGTTCAGCATTTAGACACACTTGATTATAATAGATTTTCAACGTAATTGTAACTGTTTGCGTAATTTTTAGAATCACTGATTGTGAATTTAATGTTTTAGCTTTTAATGTAAAATGATCATGTGATACGTCTTTGTTAGACTAGAGAATATTTTTTAAAAGCGCTATAAATACCATAATATATATAAATATATATACACAAAATATACTATATTTTTGCAATTAGTTCATCACAAGTTGTGTGTTTTTAAATATACCAGTATTATTTGCACTTACTTCTAAATGACGTCAGAATAGTATGCTGGTCAATGGAAAACACAAGGACAATTTTAAAACTGCATATAATGAAATATTCAACTCAATAATAAACTTGCTGACATATGTCAGAGGTCATCTTGAGAATGTTGTTGCCTAGATTTGTTTCTATATGCATATAATATTAAAAACATTAGATATTATCATGACCAGTTATTGGATTGCCATTAGAGAATCTAGCGTTCTTGCACTTTGAACACAGATTACGCAACTCCATCACGACAACTCCATAACCCATTCATCAAGAACAAGAATAGTACATTTTTATTACGTTATCATAAGCAGACTCATGTAATCCTCATTATCGTTATTCAGTGTACCTCATTTGATTTGTTCTGCTTAGTTGATACACGACATTTTGTGACGTAGTAATGAGTGTTGAACAAGTCATTTAACAGACTCCAGATAATAGTCATCCACGTCATCATAGTATCGCAATACTTTGCCACGTCATCATAGCATCTCAATACTTTGCCACGTCATCATAGCATATCAATACTTTGCCACGGCATCATAGCATATCAATACTTTGCCACGGCATCATAGCATATCAATACTTTGCCACGGCATCATAGCATATCAATACTTTGCCACGTCATCATAGCATATCAATACTTTGCCACGTCATCATAGCATATCAATACTTTGCCACGGCATCATAGCATATCAATACTTTGCCACGGCATCATAGGATATCAATACTTTGCCACGTCATCATAGCATATCAATACTTTGCCACGGCATCATAGCATCTCAATACTTTGCCACGTCATCATAGTATCTCAATACTTTGTCACGGCATCAAA